TGGAAAACTAAACCATTCTAAATTTTTCTATTATTCATAAAATGAAAGTCATCTAGATCAAAAAGTGATTTGATCGCTGAAGAGGTTCCTTCGTAACTTTCGCTAATGAAATAGATTGTTATTAAAGGTAGATATGTTCAGTGTTGATTATAAATTACAGAATCATATGGTTGGTGAGAAATTTTCTTGAAACATGTATAATGGTGACCTCCTCCAATCTTGCTGAAAAATATACGTTCTTATTCAGCAGAATTTCAGTATTTTTTTTTTGTTCACCCTAAATTCGATCAGTTTAGTGAAAATCTTCTAATATCGGTGTTCTGAGTCATTGACTTTCCATCTAGGAGTGGGATGTCATTCTATTTTTGAAAAATGTTCATTCTACGCTTCCCTTGTCTTCAGTACAAAAGCCTGGAATGGTTGGGTTTTTGACGCCTTCGTTCTCAAGATGAATTTTTCAACAAAAAGATATGGTTCCACAAAATCGATTTTCGAGCTTTGCCTGAACAAAGACACATAGAAGAATTTCAAATAATAAATATCTCAGGACAGGAAACATCAAAAGATCTGATGGAAACTACACCTTTTTGTTAAAAAATTCATCTCGAGAACGAAATCTTTGGAAACCGAACAATTCTACACTTATCTATTATACTCATTAATACTAATTAAATAAACATTGTTCCGATAGCTAAGTAATTTGATATCTATAAAGATTCTCTAGTGATTTATGCCTCAGAACACCTTTAAGTATATACTCATGTATTAGATTAATAAAATGACGTATCATTGACGAGTAATTTCTATGTCTTTTTGAGAAATTTCATCTTAACTGACAAAGATACTTTTCGTCAATTCGAAAGTAAAGATAATTCATCAAAGGTATAAACAAAAAAAAAAAAAAGAAACGTCTATCATCAACTCACTTGTTACTTAATGTTTTCTTTTATTCAAATCTTTCATAATGATGTAATAGAGATGATCATATACGCTCACACACATATGTTTATTTGAAGGTAAACCGACAGATTGTATCTATGGTTCATCAACAGATTGTTTAACGAATAACTCAGCAAACACTGGTCGAACGAGTTATTCAAATAAACAATTGACTGTATGAATAAAAAATTTCTCTTCATTATTTTGTTTTTATATTTTGAAAATTTATTTTAATTTAGGAATTGGAAAAAGAATTTCATTTCAGTCGTTATTTAACACGAGCAAGACGTATTGAAATAGCTACATTATTACAATTAAATGAAAATCAAGTGAAAGTAAAATTTTATTTTTTGATATTATTCAAAATATAAGTTTTAATATATCA